TCCAATGTAGCATTGTGGGATGAGGTACATATGGCACTGGAAAGGAAAATTAAAGAATATAATATTGCACATAAGTAAGGAAGAAACAGAAAAAAGTAAAAAGGATGATCTATGTCAACGAAGCTGCATTTCTAGCCATTTTGCTTGACGTAAATTATTCAGCCTGTTTCCATAGACATCCGAATTTATTACGGTTGCGATCAGTAGACGGTTGTATCCGTGTCTTTTTAGGAGACGAGTATCCTTCAAGATCCACTGCTTGTAGTCTGCTTTTGTCTCAGGATGCCAATAATGCACCCAAGTCTCGTCGCATATCAACATTTTTACTAAAATGTCGTTGGTCAAGGCTTCCAAGGGACTTTCTGGAACTCTAAACCTGGGCATTTTTTCTTCAGGTTTCAACATCGTGGAACCCTCCTTGCTGACACCTTACTCATGTTTAAATTGTCACGCAAGATGGTCATCACGTTGCGTTCTGACATATTCAATGCCATACTGATGATAGAAACCTTCACACGACGAGATCCACGGCTTCTACTGCTTGAGTCATCATTTGTTGCTGTTTTAAGTTTTCTACCTCTGGGATCATCTTCTATGGGTTCACGCTCTTATCGAAATAGTTTAGACCAAGATTCTATTGTGTAATATGATGGTGCATGATCGCCATAGACGACAATCATTCTCTCAAGTTTTCAGCTGATGGCACTTTCTTGTCTGAAGCTTTGTGACACTGCAATACTAAGTTACTTTTTGGTTTGTCTCACAATTCACTTTACACATGACTAATTATTAAAAATAACAGAAGTTTTGCAGGTAAGATTGAAACACATGCTGCTATTTGACATATTATGCCTGTCCATAGTGTCCCTCGTAATATAATTCTATATAATAGTGGACGTTAACCATTATAATATTGATGTCCCTATTTTGTGAAATATATAACAACTGATATCATTTACATGTCAACCGGCAGCTGGTGAGATCCACATATTAGCGATCATATCACCTGTTAATTTCCTATCAGCTATATAACCACCAATGCCAGGCACATTAGGAGCCACTGTGGCACTCAATGTAAAGCCTAACGTGATAAATAAATGGTACCCAATCTGTAGGATGCTCCAAATATATTAAAGCCTCTACATTACGCGGCTAGAAGAAGTTGCATGTACTAATTTAGAAACAGCTTGTATACAGTGTGGATAGTAGACAGAATAAAAATGCCAAAAGATTACTTTAAGCAGCATTTAATGGATCTAATACGTTAGTTGGCAGATCAATACACGGTTAAAATCTGTGACTGGGCGTTATTGGATGCCTGCATTCAATATTGAAAACACTGGTTTCACTGTTTAGAGTCTAATTTATTACTCCTACATCAAAAACACTGGTTTCACTGTTTAGAGTCTAATTTATCACTCCTACATTAATTTACGACAACACTAACAAACAATTTATGACAAATTCATAACCCTGTCGACTGGACTATCGCGTTCTGCGCTGCCGGCTACTCAACTGTCGCTCTTTTAACGGCTCTGGGTGTTTATTTTAAAAATGGCGAATGTCGATTGATGTCGACCGATCGATCTCGATGATGCTGCGAGCCATACCACTCTTGATGCACGATGGCGTAACTCTGGTTGCCTATGCGTCGAGATTGCAAAGGCGTCTCATCGTTACTGAAGGTTCCAGTTACGAAGGCGGTACAATACGTAGGTGTATCAAAAAAAATCCGGATTAGCTGTGTAGCTCACCAACAGATGGTATAGATGTATGTATAAATCAGTTGGTCATCACTTAAAGTGTCATCATGAAGGTAATGTTCGAGCAAAAGGGAACTTTTTGCATGAAATTTACAAAATCAGCTATAGAAAGAGTAGATGTCGGCCGGTCCATCTCAATGCACAGTGGCGTAGCGCTGTTTGTCCAAGCGCCGAGATTTCAAGAGCGTCTCATCATTACTCAAGGTCCCAATTAAGATGGTTCAATACGTAGGTATATCAAAAAGATTCTGGACTAGCTTTGTAACTTACCAGTAGATGGTAGCTTGTGCTGAATCTACTGTTTACGCCCACTACTTTCTTGTCTCTCTTCCCCTTTTGTTCTACTAATAGCTGATACAAAATTTTTTTTAGTTACCTCCCAAAATATACTGTGATTTGCTAATAGGATGTTGATAGATGCACCAGCAACAAAAAACTTTTAATTCTACGTTCTATTGTGAAAGTGATCGTTGTTAAATGGATGACCTGAAACTCATTACATTTGTTTGTTAGTTCTTTTCTCTTGTGGACTAGGTACTTCTTACATAATGGTTATCATGACTATCATTATTGGGCTTTCCATCAAATATACTAAGTGACATATAACTCCGAACACCCAGTTTAAATGGTTTTATTTTAATAAAATTTTGTATAAGTACTTAATGAAGCATAATAAGTAAATGATAAAAATTTCAAAATGATTGCACTGCTTTAAAGCCCTTTGACCTTTAATAATGTGTGGATGCACCCTGATGTGCTACGCATTCTCCAACGCGCCTAGGCATGCTTCTGATCAGGTGGTCAATGTCCTCCTGTGATATCTCATTCCAGGCAACCACCAACTCCTCTCGAAGTGCTTCTAGAGTCTGAGGAGGACGTTGCAAATTGAGCAATCTCCTACCAATCATACCCCACACGTGCTCAATTGGGGATAAGTCGGGAGATCTTGGTGGCCATGGTAACAATATGACATCATTATGTTGAAAGAAGTCTATTGTGACTCTTGCAACATGTGGTCGGGCATTATCTTGTTGGAAAGTTGGATCTACCAGGGTGTCAAGATAGGGTAAAAGATGGGGTTCTAGATCTTCGTGGATATAACGTTGCGCGTTCATGTTACCTCTGATGAAGATTAAAGGTGACCTGGAACCACTCCAACAGTGTGATGAACATGTCTTTCAACAAAAAACTGTGGATTCCTCCTTTCACCACGACGCCTTCTAACCCTGGCACGACCATCGTGCATGCCTAAACAAAATCGAGACTATTCACTAAAGACAATACTGTTCCATTCCCGATCCCACAGTGACCGTTGTCTGCACCACTCAAGGCGATTACGTCGGTGTTCTCGAGTTAAAGGGAGGACCCAGTGTGGCCGGTATGAAAACAAGCCAAAACTTCTCATTCGTCGGTAAACACTTCGCATGCCAATAGGTCTTCCGTGTTCTGCAAACCATTCATTTGCAATGGACCTGGTAGTGGAGAAACGGTCCCTTAAGGCCAATAATCTTAGGCGGCGATCTTCACGGTCTGTTGTTCTACGGCGGCGTCCAGTGCCCCTTGCTCTTTGCGTACGGCCTTCTCGAAGCCATGCCTGACAACACCTAACCACAGTGTCTACACTTCTTTGCACTCTAACTGCAATTGCCCGAAAAGAAAGTCCAGCTTCCCGATGTCCCACTATACGGCCCCTATCAAACTCACTGAGTTGACGAAATCGTACAGGTCTCCGTACTCTAGGCATCGTAACCGATCGTAAAGGATGTCAAGAACCAAAATCCGCCAACGTTGATTCTTTACTGCGGCTGAAATATTCATTTTTAGAGCGTTAGTGAATTAAAAAAAAGCAGTATAAAAACCGGAATGTCCAACTGATAAGGCTGAAAATTGTTTCACTTGTTATTTACAGTAAGATAAATACATTCACCAACTTTTATTAAAATAAAACCATTTAAACTGGGTGTTCGGATTTATATGTCACTTAGTATATTTTGCGAATTTATGTTTTTAGTTATTTATTAATAAAAATGGCACATGTGTACAATAATGAGGAGTTAGTGGAAATTGTTTTAGCGTACGGAGAATCAGGGCAAAATTCGCGAGCGGCTTCTCGTTTGTATGCACACCGATTTCTGAATTGGTACATACCACAACACGAAACATTTAGTTCAGTTGTTCTAGGTGCACGTGCTAGTCCAACAGGTCCCAAAAGTGTCACATGCAACACGTGGCGCATATTACTTTTTCCGTAACAGTGCATAAGTGGTTAAAATTTGTCGGACAAGTTGTGAAACACCTTGTATACTGTTGCTAGAAAATTGAAATGGCTCTCCTAAAAAGTTCATATTTGATCCCCCATGTTGGTCTGACCAATAAAATTAATTTTATGCTCACTTGTAGCAAGCGAGGCAATGAACTTTTTTACACACTAATCTACTTACACATTTTACCGTTTTTTTCTTGACATCATACACGTTTTTTTACATAACAATTCTGCTGTAGCCTTCTTCAGTACATGAAACTTTTGAATCAAGCCGAATCGCACAGCAACCCTCTGTTTTTCTTTGGTGAGTTGAAAAATACCCCTTTTTAATTTTGCAGTCCTGCGGTTTTCAAGATATTACTCTTCTGTTTTACTTTATGTACGCAAAGTTGAATTATTATTATTATTATTATTATTATTATTATCGTGAATCGTTCTTAAATTTTTGAATGACATCTATTTTAACATGAAAGTGCAAACTTGTCGTTAGCTATGAAATTGAGAGGAAATCCAGGGAGCACAAAAGCACTTACTGCAAGAACAAAAAAGATAAAGAAACTTTGCACAATACTGTGTGAGATCATCAGCTGATTTACAAAGCAGGCACAGCCTCGAGCTGCCATGTGTTGGTAAGTCCAGGAACTTTTTGATGCACCACTGTACAAATAATAACTATAAATTGTGTTGCCCATTTGACATGAGTAAACGCTTGGCACGAACACTAGTTATAGGAGGTGAAATTGAGTTAGGGATACACGTATACCACTTGGCGGTTTATTAATATTATCCAATATTTCAGCTTGAAATTTGTCCAAACTGTCAAAATTGGAGTTGCTAACAGTCATGATGACAGCAAAAGAGAGAGATGGCACATATGCAGAACCAGAAATTCATATTCTGTGCAATGTACAGAGGAGAGAGATGTCCTATGTGTAGGACCTGAAATTCGTTTGCTGCGCAGTGTACCAACTCACTTCGTCGTCTACATTTTTGGCTTCACCCCCACTCCGTGAGATTAATCTCCTGTCTCTAGTCTTCATGACGTGTGGATTATGCTGTGAGAGAAAATTGACGTTTGTCCGTCCTTGCTAATAAAGCAAATACATAAATTGTTTGAAATTAACATTTTTGTCCCTCCACCGATCAGCCCTATTCAAAACATGTTCCGTCCCGTATATTGTTTATTCTAGCAACATCAAAAAGCCGCCCTGAATAATTTCCTTTAAATTTACCGCTTGGCCAGCTATAACGTGTAGAGCATACATTGTAGTAATTAACTGTCACTTAATTTGACCATTACACTAACTCATAAACTGCAATTACCCTTTCAAATTAGATGCAGTCGGAAACAGTTACTGAGCGTAATCACGGCATAACGACTGATAGAAGTCCACCGCTTCAGAAGCATAATGTCTACCTAAATTGCGTACATTCCCAGAGCTACCGTTTTTCGCCTTTGAAAGCCCCATAATTCTCACATTGCGGTTTAGTTCTTATGTCTGACTATATTAAAAATGGTAAAATGGACAAAAATGCGTCAAATATATTGGCTCTATACTTCCACGCCTTTTAGAACAATATTTGATGTCGTGTAATGGCATCAAAAACACGTAAATGTTGTCAGTACTATTTGTGCACTATTTGAGATATCCATGGAAAAAAATCCTCAATTGCCGAATTTTTTTGGAGCTCTCTTGTAAGCCTGTTTGTCAACTGATACCTAATTATAACAGCTCTTGACACGTAGTTACATACTATACTAAGTGACATATAAATCCGAACACCCAGTTTAAATGGTTTCATTTTAATAAAAGTTGGTGAATGTATTTATCTTACTGTAAATAACAAGTGAACAAATTTTCAGCCTTATCAGTTGGACATTCCGGTTTTTATACTGCTTTTTTTTAATTCACTAACGCTCTAAAAATGAATATTTCAGCCGCAGTAAAGAATCAACGTTGGCGGATTTTGGTTCTTGACATCCTTTACGATCGGTTACGATGCCTAGAGTACGGAGACCTGTACGATTTCGTCAACTTAGTGAGTTTGATAGGGGCCGTATAGTGGGACTTCGGGAAGCTGGACTTTCTTTTCGGGCAATTGCAGTTAGAGTGCAAAGAAGTGTAGACACTGTGGTTAGGTGTTGTCAGGCATGGCTTCGAGAAGGCCGTACGCAAAGAGCAAGGGGCACTGGACGCCGCCGTAGAACAACAGACCGTGAAGATCGCCGCCTAAGATTATTGGCCTTAAGGGATCGTTTCTCCACTACCAGGTCCATTGCAAATGAATGGTTTGCAGAACACGGAAGACCTGTTGGCATGCGAAGTGTTTACCGACGAATGAGAAGTTTTGGCTTTGTTTTCATACCGGCCACACTGGGTCCTCCCTTTAAGTCGAGAACACCGACGTAATCGCCTTGAGTGGTGCAGACAACGGTCACTCTGGGATCAGGAATGGAACAGTATTGTCTTTAGTGACGAGTCTCGATTTTGTTTAGGCATGCACGATGGTCGTGCCAGGGTTAGAAGGCGACGTGGTGAAAGGAGGATTCCACAGTTTTTTGTTGAAAGACATGTTCATCACACTGTTGGTGTTACGGTTTGGGGTGCTATAGCTTATGGTTCCAGGTCACCTTTAATCTTCATCAGAGGTAACATGAACGCACAGCGTTATATCCACGAAGTTCTAGAACCCCATCTTTTACCCTATCTTGACACCCTGGCTGATCCAACTTTCCAACAAGATAATGCCCGCCCACATGTTGCAAGAGTCACAATAGACTTCTTTCAACATAATGATGTCACATTGTTACCATGGCCACCAACATCTCCCGACTTATCCCCAATTGAGCACGTGTGGGATATGATGGGTAGGAGATTGCACAATTTGCAACGTCCTCCTCAGACTCTAGAAGCACTTCGAGAGGAGTTGGTGGTTGCCTGGAATGAGATACCACAGGAGGACATTGACCACCTGATCAGAAGCATGCCTAGGCGCGTTGGAGAATGCGTAGCACATCAGGGTGCATCCACACATTATTAAAGGTCAAAGAGCTTTACAGCAGTGCAATCATTTTGACATTTTTATCATTTACTTATTATGCTTCATTAAGTACTTATACAAAATTTTATTAAAATAAAACCATTTAAACTGGGTGTTCGGATTTACATGTCACTTAGTATATATATCCTGTACCATACAGGGTATCGCATCGGGAATTCCATCGATAGGTTTCTCTAAAAGTAGACATATGATATTTTTGAAAATTTGGGAGTATACTAATGTCGATGAAGCAACGCCAGCTAAGATATTTTCAAAATGGTGGCACTTCCGGTTATACGGTGTGTGTAAGTGAACTCGATATTTTTAGTTCCACCAAAATCGATCTCAAGAGATATGAGCGATACTGTTCAAGTTATAGGCGGTTATAAGATTAGCGGACAGACCGACAGATAGACCAAAGTAACTGACAAGTGCATACGAGGGTGGACCCAGAAGTACCCGACCCAACGAAGAAAACACAAAATTTTTGTAAAAGAACCGTATTTATTTTTCAACATAATCTCCCATCAATTCCCAGCGATGCTCAATAAGTTCGATACCCTTTTTATAATAAGAACTGTCTTGCTCCTCAAAATAGCTATTAACTGCCGACATCACCTCTTCATCGTTGGAAAATCTTTGACCACTGAGCCATTTTTTCAAGTTTGGAAACAGAAAATAATCCGATTGGACTAAATCTGGTGAATAGGGTGCATGAGGTGGCAATTCAAACTTTAATTCGTTGATTTTGGCCATTGCAATAACGGATTTGTGTGCTAGTGCATTGTCTTGATGGAACAACACCTCCTTCTTAACCAAATGCGGCCGTTTTTGCTTGATTTCATCGATCAAACGTTGCAATAAGTTTGCAGAAGACTCGCCGTTGATAGTTTTACCTTTTTCAAGATAGGCAATGAAAATTTTTCCACGCGCATCCCAAAAAACCGACGCCATAACCTTGTCTGCAGATGAAACGGTCGTCGCCTCCTTTGGAGCCGGTTGTCCCTTTTGAGACCATTGTTTTGATTGTTCTCTTGCCTCGGGTGTGAAGTGATGGACCCATGTTTCATCCATGGTTATGAAACGCCGCAAACATTCTGCTTTGTTGCTGTGAAACTTCGCTAAACATTCAATTGAAACATCTTCACGACACTGTTTTTGCTCGATTGTGAGCAATCGCGGCACCCATCTTACACACAGCTTTCTCATGTCCAAATTTTCAGATAATATGCGATGAACCGCACTTTTTGAAATGCCTACTATGTCTGCTAGCTCGCGCACTTTTAGTCGACGATCATTCAGTACCGCCTCGTCTAAACTCTGCTACAAAATATTTACTTTTGTAAACGAACAAGCAGACTCACCCAGAGTAGAATCCAGTTCAGCTTTTATATTGGTTGGGCTGAGGCCTTTGAAATAAAAGTGTTGCACCACATAACGATGACCAATTTTCTCCATTTTCACAAATTCACTGAAAACGTTCAGTATTGATGGCTGCCAAACAAATACTAAGGCCCGTATCGTCAGTCGTCCCTACAATTGTAGGGCTCCTTTATGGCCTCCTTGATTGTCATAGTTTTACTTCTCCGTGTCAGCGCTCGATTTTGAGGTTATGTCACAAACATCTATTTGCATCAAATTGTGCTTGCTTTTGAGTTATATCATGTTTTATCAGCCTGAAATTTCCTACAATTTAAAAGGAAAACATATTTTAACAATAGGAGAGCGCTGACGCTGACACGAGACGACTGTAATCTAGAAATTTTTGAAGGAGAGAAAAGGGTATGACAATCAAGGAGGCCATAAACGCACCCTACAATTGTAGGGACGACTGATGATACGGGCCTGAACTGTCTTCAAACTTGACACATATTCTTTATAGGATGCACACTTTCTAATTCAATGATATTTTTTAAACAACTATCGCCATCTCCAGTTCAGGCCGGGTACCGTAAAACATTTAAAAAAGATAATATTTTATTTCCGAAATTTTTCGCGATTATAATACTTCCTCTCCCAGTACCGCAGGAAGTAAAAGTCATGTAGTCAAAAAATGGACTCAAGACTTTTTTCCACTCAGCGATTCGATTTGTCTTTACGCTGCTTCTTGTCCCGCGGTACGTCCATGCCTCTTCATACCTCGATGCTGTGTATATGACATGCGTTTTTCATCCGAGCGCGTTGCGCTACATACCCTATGACGTCAGGTGTCAGCGGGTGTTATTGTCGATGTACAGATTGCGTTCTGTCACACGTTAAATCTGAATAATTTCACACTTTAAAAAGCAACCGTTCGTTGCGGGAGCCGGTTGGTTTCTCGTATCAACACACGATATATCGTATGCATGTAGCGCCGAACACATTCGTCAGTGTCAACACCATTTCTATTCGGTCGCCTCTGACTGCCGTTTCGTGCTGGAGCGTAACATGGCACTATTGTAATGGAATAGTGTCGTTCAGTCGTTCAGAAGTATTCGTACCGTTGCATAAGTATGAGCTTTTTATACTTCTGTGTCTCATACTAGCTTAGTCGCCCTTCATGTTTGAGCAATCATCCTGCACTGATCATGGAATTCATTACTTCCGGATCTCCAACGAAATTCCCATTTGCTAATTCTCCACGGTTTAACTTTCGCAAAGCTAACTTTCCTGAAATGTACACAGCCTTGCAAGATGTTAATTGGACGGAGGTGATCAGTGCAATTAATGTTGATGTCGCTTGTACCGCCTTGTATTCAGTTATCAATAACATCTTTGAGGTCCATGTCCCTAAATGTAAAAATAAAATGTTTTCGTATCCCCCATGGTTCACACGTGAAATTATACTTAATATCAAGAAGAAGGACATAGCAAGAAGGAACTGGAAACGTGACGGTACTAAGTTTTCTTATGATCAGTTCAGTAATTTTAGGAAGCTCATTATGAACCAGATCAGTGTTGCCTACTCCGCTTACGTCCAATCGGTTGAGGATGTCATTGTCAATGATCCTAGCAAATTCTGGTCATTTGCCTAGATCAAAAAACAGCAATCTAGAATCCCCCCAAGGATGACGCTTAACGGCAATGTCTGAGATACGCCTCAGGATATAGTGGACAGTTTTGCTACCTTCTTTTCAACAGTTTTTATCCCGTCTGGTCTACTAGGGTCATCTCCTCCAACAAATAATTCTACCGATATCATTTCTTTAAAGAATATAAGTGAAGAAAACGTAATTAGGGCTTC